CGGATTGGTTTACCAAGTATACACTCTTATTTCCACTCAGAAAGGCCAACGCGCCTGCAGTGATAAAAATCTTAGAGGACCAAGTATTTTTGACTTTTGGTACACCACAGTTTATAGTCTGTGACAATGGCACTTTGTTTGCGGGAAGGGAATTCAAACGTTTCGCCGATAAATACGAAGTACAAAAAATCTGGTTCAATGCCCGTTACCATCCCCAAGCAAATTTTGTTGAAAGAACGAATAAAACTGTTGGTACTGCTATCCGCTCATATTTAGAAGAACGTCACGAGCTATGGGATAAAAATTTATCGGAAATACGATTCGCGATTAACAGCGCGCGACACGAAGTCACTGGGTATCCCCCGTCTTATTTAAATTTTGGTAGATACGTGCCTCTTAGTGGTAAATATTATGGGTCTCTGCACGACCAACCTAGCGCTGATTTATATCCTGGTGATCGAGATCAGTACTCTTTGGAACTCGAACAGCTTTCCACCAGTGTTTACGATGAGATACGCCAAAAACTTAACGCGGCTTATCGACGATACGCCAATCGATATAATACAAAACGTAGAAACGTTGAATATAATGTTGGTGATAAGGTATGGAGGCGGAATCATGTGATGTCCGACTTACGACGCAAGGTGTCCGCCAAACTCGCGAAAAAATACGTAATAGCTAGAATTGTCGAAAAAATTTCGCCTTTAGTATACCGATTGACGAATGACGACAATACTAATGCCGGTCGTTACCACGTGAAGGACTTGAAGCCTTATTTCGTGTCAAATTCGGACGTTTCGTTCGGGTAAGCTTGTTCTTTGCTGTACCCAGGCCTCTTTCGTCTTGTTTTCTATGAAGTATTTTCTCTCCTCAGTATTCCTACAGATTCTTTCCTTTTTTAGAGTTTTACCGCCAATCATCGTTATGATTTTATTGTTGCGCCCCACCCCTATGCTTAACCCGATTGTGACAGCCTGTCCAAAGTTTCTTTGACGAGGTTTCACGTAGACTTTCCTTCTTAGGACGTGTGATACGCGTAGTTATCAGCCTTGTGATGATTTATTTCACCAGGGAGGACACAGGAATGCGGCTGCTTGATGTACGGCTCCATTTCTCTTGGATAAGACTTCTTAAAAAGGTTTCCTTTCCGTCAACCTTTTTTTTTCGTAGGGGAGGTGCAGTGTAACATGCGTTACGTTTTCCTGTGCTGGACCGGGAAAAGAATAGTCCATCAGCCTAGTCCTGCTTGAGGTAAAAGTCCTCTAATGGACCTGTTTCTTCTGTCCTTTCCCCTTTCTTCATATCTTAGTTTTTCTTTTACCGATGGTAAAATTTCAGCGTTGTTGATGCTATAATCAACCACTTGTAGTTCAACCCTTCAGGTTGTTTTAGCGTAGTTGATGCTATAATCAACCAGGTAGTGCTGGCTTCCTCAGGCTTCACCGGAAAATTTTGCATTTCTTTTTTGTCGTTTCAACCCTTTCCAGCATTTATCTTTTTGCCGTAGTGCGTTTAGTTTTAATAACCAAAAATATTATTTTCATCATCGTAGCTCCCTCTTTTGAGTGAGTACGTTTCTATCAAGTATCGTTATCGGTTCTTTATCAATTTCGTTTTTAATTATCGACGACACCTTCGCTACGTCAGAGTGACGAGGTCCCCCATTTTTAAGGCGACTTCCGGTCAGCGTCGTCTCCCGTCACTCCTGGAATAATCAGTAAGTCCCGGTTCACCACTCTGAAAAAATTTTCTTGCCGTCTCTTGGTCATTTTTCCACCAGGTGCTATGCTTTGTCTTGGCGAATTCTAATTGCTAATAACGAATCCATGTCTCAGTCCCTTCCGGTTTACGTGTACGCCGCTGGGCAGTGGTCACCTCCGACAGCGCATTGGTCACCTTAATATCTACCCCTACCTTTGAGACGATTCTTGGTTTTTAAGATTTTTCCGGCGACATTTTTCCGAGAGTGTTCACGGTGGTGAAGACTTGTGTCATTTTTGCGCACCAAATTTTTCGTTGCTTGAAAACCCTCAGCAGCCACTTGAGGTAATTATTAAAACTGTCTTTTCCGTCAAATTAAACCGCTTGGAAATTTCAGGGTTTTTCCTTTTCTTGTCTGGTACCGTGTGCGACGTCGAACCAAGCCAAGATTTTTTGACGACGCCATCTTGAAGGCGGCACGGCTTCTCGTTTGACTTTTTTGAAGCTCTCGAATTTGAGGACGGCCTGGAACATTTTCGCCGGTACGCCAGAAATAATTTACCGCTAATCGGAACATCACTATCTCTGGAAACGCCCAAGGTCAGATTTTTCCAATCTATGAATTTGCGCCCTACACGTCAAATATAGTACCATCGCCCTTCAGGCACTAGTCTAAAGAATTATTCTTAGTTATAATTAATTCGTTGTAAACCAAGCTTACGTAAGCGCGGCCTTTAATTGTGTCGAAATAAGTAGTGTGAATATTTTAATCTTTTTTTTTTTTCTTCTTTTTTTCTTTCTTCCTAATTTGATAAATCGGTTGTCCCTTACTTATGTATTTTTTTTTTTTCAATAGTTTGAAACTAAATTGGTAGTTGCTAGTTTCATAAAACATTTTATTTACTAACTACCTGGCGCCCACTAATCAGTCTCCCCCTTACATCCTTTCAATAAAATCGACTGCAAAGAGGTTAAATTTCGAGAGAACCTGCGACCCGCCGCCGAAACAACTGAGTGCCGTACGCAGTGGCCGATTTTCAAAATTGGAAACGGTGCAGTACATATATTAGGAATATTGTGTAGAAAGTGTAGATGATGAAACGCAGGCCAAAATTTGTTTGATCATCCTTAAGACTGTTACGGACCCCCATTTTTACCTATTACTTTTGTAATAATCAGTCTATTATTGTTAAATTATAATCTCCAAAGTTAATAAGCCGAATTCCCAAGTTTCCACTGTTTGTATTTAATGTTTGTGTTCAATGACTGTATTTATATTTGATAGCTAATAATTCTTCATGTGACTATTATCAGGGATCAAGTATTGTACTTTCTTTGTTTAAAACTATTATAAAAGTGTTAGCAATGTGAACCCAGGAATCAGTATTCAGTATTTCATCATTAAGATATCATTATAAACGTCGATAGTTAACAGTGCCCGTGTCGGTAGAAATTGTAATCACGAACTTGTAGATCTGGCTTGAATAAAGTAGTATTTAAGTGAAAAGATCTGGTTTAAGTTATTAAACTTCCCCACGTGAGTAAAATCACCTGGTGAATAAAAGTGTCTTCTGCCAAAATTGAAAGAACCCTTTGTTGTGGTCGAGGCTCACAACAAAACCAATGATATGACGTCATCTCCAACTTTTTCAATAGTAAATGTAATTTAAATTTTATAAAATAACATACTCCTCCACTTCTGGTTTATGAGCCTGTGTTGAATTTTTCCCGTAGGCATCCCGATTTTGCAAAAAAATCAAAATTGTATAACAACATTTTAGAAAACATGGTAAATCTTTAATCAAAATGTATCCGTTTACGACCCCCCTGAAAACTGATAACGTCATCTCAAAATTTTGCCAAATGAATCTTATCTATAATGTGCAAAATATGATGAGTCTATACTTATGTATAAATCAGGAATTGCAAAACCGAATGCTTTAAAATCTTGGAGACGTTTTAAGTTTATTGTAAACATGGTAAATTTTTATAAATAAATAAATTCTACCTAAAATGTGCAAAATATGATGACTTTTTACTTATTATTTATCATAGCTTTAATAATTTTTAGATTTGTTGATACAGATGGCTCAAAAAAAATAATGACTAAATCAATTTATTTTATTGATTAAAGCAGGAATCGCTCACTCCATTTTCCCGAAAATTTGGGAATACAGTGCTGTTATTATTAGCATTACACTGCACACTACAAACTGATATACGTGTTCTTACAAAATTGTTAGTGACATCATAACGAGTATAAACTCATTTGAAACATATGCGTAACACGCTTCTTTATATTTACGTTATTAACATTACGTAAGTACATATATTTATTTCAACTTATAGGGTTCTCATAACAAAATAAAATTCACAAAATCAAATTTTGTAATTCTTCGAAAAAGCTAGATACGTTTTATCGTACTTCAGGAACGAGGTAATAATTTCTGTCGAAATATGCCTTGGCCATTTTTTTTTTATTGTATGCAACAGAATTTAAAAAAACATACTGTTGTTAAAAATATGTGCACAACATATTTATTATATTAAAAACATGACAAAATGAAGTATTGCCGGTATAGCATTAGATTAATCTGATCCGGATTGAACTAGTTACATCTGATACCGGTCCCGGTTTAGAGTTACGAGTATATTCTTCGTTGCTGAACTAAATGGCCTAATAGCACCATTGACAAAAAAACTATGTTAAAAGTTTGCACTTACTGAATATACGAAGAATTAAAATTTCATACAAATTACTATTAATTTTTTTACCAGGAGTACAATACTCTCGTTAATAAATTACATTCTTATTTTATCACTGCGTATGAGGTTAGCCCAGGACACAAGACAAACATTTTTCTCAATTCATCACTGCCATGATAAAATATAAAAAGAATTTCCTACGTATTGTCTTATCCCTTCACGAACAAAACTTTTTTCCTAAAAAACTTTTATCATCTTGTGTACTGATGAGTTACAAATATTAATTGACTCTTTTTGCTCTAAACGCAAAATATCAGTGAAATGAATTTATATTTAACAATAGTTCTTTTTGTTTATGCTGTCACTGCTATGAACATTTTGAAATTAAAAACAATGTTAAAAAGATTTTAAATAATAATTCCAAACGCTTGGATGGAAAAATGTGTAAGATTTTTCGCAGGTAACTCTCACTCTTTGATCACTTTTATTTACACACAGTCTGGCCCAAAAGCGAAACAAAAATAAATCTTCGTATTTTAAATATTCCGATGGACATCGTCATCACTATGATTATGATTATTAAAAAAAATCACCTTCGAATGCTACGAGGACGGATTGGGTCCTTTGGAAATAGCGTTTCCGGGTTGTCTGGATGACGGAACAACCACGGTGGGATGAAGAAGCAGTCTGGTCTCTTCATTGGGTGAATTATCGTCCATTGGAGGAGGCGGGGGACAGATGTATAGCGGCACATCACCAACACTATCACCACACTCTTTCAATTTATTCGAATCGAGCACTGATTCCTTACAGGACTGTTTCTCCTTATTAATAATATCGTCTAACAAAAACAACTGCGACTTTAATGTCCTGTTTTTTTCATTGTCTTGTTGATAGTAGGGAGGAAGATTTTTCGTTAGAGTTTTTTGGCTGAGCACGCGATGCCTCAGTTGAGGAGATGAAACTCGCTTATTCGGAGAATACTCGCTGCCGGAACCGATTTCATAACCGGACATGTTGTCGGAGATTAAACGCTCGCTTTCCGGATCTGCGTTGCGGTTTCCGCTGCTGTCGGACTTCTTCAGGATTGATTTGGAACGCCGATGGTGCTCTAATTGCGGACTCACTCGGCTGTCTATAGAATCCACAGACAGTGACGATTTGCTGCCGCTGTTTTTGCCTGGAAAGAGAAAAGCACACTTTAATAAACCGCGGAATGGAAATTTTATTGTGACTGTTGAAATTTTGTTTGACAAAGAGCGTCGAAATTATTCGGCAGACTGCGGTGTTGAAGGGTTTGCGGTCAGCGAGTTTCAGAGATTTACCTTATAATAGCTAACAAAGCGTAAAAGTTTAGAGAAAGGGTCTGATTTGAGAAACCTCAGAAAGGGACGCGGTAACGAATGCCACTGTGCCAACTTACATTTTTAATGCGCAGTTATTTTATAACAAGAACGGGGAGCACTACGTTATGGTTATGAAGGTGTAATTGTTATGCGAGAAGGCCGAGGGCGTCAAGTACACGAATTCTGAAGGCACTTTCACACTAGCGTTGCTAATCTTTTTCGTAAATGGGTTATCTTTTTTTAATTGGAGGCAGATCAAAAAACTGGTGCACCTTGTCCAGAGATGATGAATCAAATATCTTCATTTTTTTATTGTTTTATGATTTCATTTGAAAAAATGATAAATTTTGTTTCTTTGGAATGTTTTGTGTCAAAAATATAAAAAAAGTTAAATAGCATGGGAAATTCAAAACAGTTTATTTCATTTTAACGTTTGTTCTCCACAAAACCGAAAATAGAAAAAAAATTGTTAAAAATCTGTATCAACCATGTGTTTCGACAATCACGTTGACATTATCATCATTATATTTTCTGTATTCTCGGGGGTGTCGAGAATAAACGTGGAATAATGTACTCATTTTTGAGCTGTAGGTACGTGTAAAAAATTTACATAATGGAGTTCTAACTAACTTTAGCAAGACACCACACAATTTATAGATTACACAATATTGGAAATTTATTTGTTGTATTACAAATAATTACGAAACATCCAATAAATTAACAAGTTTTGTATAGTGGTGGAAATACTCCAGGTAAAACTTTTTCTCTTTCCATCTTTGCACTTTGTGTGAGAAAAAAAAGTATGGGTGCTAAAAGTAAAAAAAAGTTCAGGTAAAAGTGTTCTCCTTTTAGAGATAAAAATCATTAAAATTTATGTCCAAATTCGTTATACGCCTCTGATAAAAAGATCATCTTTCGTTTCTAAAGCAACATTTAGTCTTGACAAAAGTTTTATTGTTACAGTTGCTAGGATTTACTAAAATAAATTAATTTTACCTATTTATCCTTCAGTAGCGTCTAAAAAAGTTGGATAAGGGTTAATTTTCCCCTTATAATTTTGATAACACAAAATAAGTTTTTCAGACTTCTTATAGACTTCGTCAAAAACTGTTAATTTTGTTGTACGTACCTTTCAATAACACCCTGTATTAAACACACGGAAAAAATCATAGATTCGGTATGGCAAACCGAAAATATTCTGGACAATTGTGAAACAAATCAAGTGATTGTCAATGTTAATTCTGTTTCAGATGATAGTGACAGTGAAGATGATGACAGTAGTGCTGATGGTTTAAAGTTGTGTTAAAAATTAACTTCTAATTAAAGAATAAAACATAATAATTATTCAATTAATTTTGAACTTCTGCAATTTACATTGATATGTTGCCATAGCAAGTAACAAGCAAAAAAGCACATACTTTTGGTCACTAAAAAAAATTCACACTCTAAGTGTTTTGAACATGGATATTTCCCCAACTTTAATAAATGTTTAAATTAATTTTTCATACGTGTTAGATATGGAACAAATTAATTACGTATTAAATTTGTTGCCAATCGCATGCAGATAAATTTTAAGCTCCACTTTGCAGCATTAAATAAATTGTAGCTAAAATTATTTCCGCAGAAATTACCTGTCCTTATGTGGGTTAATGATACGTTTCTTTTTCTAATACACAGTTAAAGTAGCGTTTAATGACCGACATGCGACATTTAGATCAGTAGTGACTTTGATGGAGATAATTTGCGGTCGAATCGTACTTTTGATAGAGTGAAGTATCTAAAATAACTTCATTACGTACGTGTTATTTTTAAATAATTTTAAAAATCAAATCCACAATACATCAACTATGTAATATTCATGAAAATAAGTTTACTCTGCCAAATGTTCACAATGATTATTACTATATGTAGGTGTCCCAGAAAAAACTCCGCGGTCTTATATCTTGAAAGCGGGTAGACATATTGAAATTCTGTAAATGTCATTGTGTTTAGCTTGAATGGGGCGATTCAATTTAATACATTGTAAAATAACGCATATATGGCGAGGGCGTCACGACCTATAATTGTGTCAATTGCAATGTAGGTTTTTTGGGGCGGATTTTGATATATCATGAAATTACGATTACAATGATATAAAATACACATATGTGGTGAAATGAAGAAATATATGATGTTCAGTTGAATAAGTCATCAAGTTGGCTTGAATTTTTATAAACTTTGTGCAGTGTGTCTACAGTTAACCTAAAATTTAATAGATAGCAGCTGACAACCCGGAAATGTCAATGATACACAACAGTATGAACTAATAAGACACATGTGTTTTTGGCTACGTTTTCTTCTATCAAACAAGCAACGCCAGCTTGAAGACTTTCTCAATTCAACACCCGTTATCTCGTTGTCATATAATATATAGTTTGTTTATATCGTAGATTTCGATCCGATCGAATTTCGAGACGATCGAAGTTGTCAAACCCACTTTAATCTACGGGCGTTTATATCACGGAAAACAGTCCGTTCGATCCACTGATTTGTAGTTTGAAATTGGTTTGAGTTTGACGTTTGGAGAAAGATAATAGTGTAACATTATTAATATTTCATTTTATCTGTGAAGTGGTCAACATAAATAATAACCTATAAAAGTTCAAGCCCGTTTACATCGCATCTTCAAGCATTTGAATCCGTTTTAGATCCGTTCGGTTCGATTCGATCCGACTAGTTTGTCGGATCGAATTTTGATAGTCAATCCGCTTCAACATTCGATCTGCAGCGTTTATACCATTAGTTTCAATCGGATCGGACTGAGTCGATCGGCTCGAAATCCACGATATAAACTAAGTAATAATATATTGTCAGTGAATCTACTGTTAAATCTTAACGGCATAAATCATCAAAACGCTGTTGTCTGAAGAAAGGAAAGCGGGAAAAACATTAAATAATCTCACACAACAATTGAAAAGAAAAATAAAAACTTTAAAGATTAATTTATTAGCTCCTATTTGAGAAAGCCGAATGATCATATTACGGGTTATTCTCTGTGGAAATCAAGCAAGAGATTAAAAAGTCAATTTATTCAAAACCCTTCAATTGAAAACGAGAATGGCACCTGGGCTAGAACCAGTGCACAAAAAGCAGAATGCTTTGTTACTGACCTAGAGAACTTTTTCCAGCTACATTACCTTCCGAAAGAAGAAGCGAGAGAAGAAACTATGTTGCAGGATTAAGAAAAGACAACTTTGGTACCACCAAAGAAAGTTATGAAGAAAGCTAATAATATATTTAAACCTGACAATACTCCTGGATCTGACTCTATGACAGGAAATATTAAACAATTTACTAGTTTTATTAATACCGAAATTAGGCTAAAATACGGTTCTTTGCTATGCTATGGGAGAAACCAGGTAAATCTCCATATGTAGCTTTCTCATATTAAGCTGGGTCACTACTACCCTTTCTAGTAACCCGAGGTCAAATATAGAAAACAGAATGTACACAAACATCCAGAGGCAGAGTGGGAGTCAAACCCACGATCCAAGGTATAGCGGGCAGGCGCGAAGTCAGCTCATCCACCCGGATCCTATCCAAAGTATTTGAAAAAAGTATTCCTCAAAAGAATGCCACCAATTTTAGATAGAAAAAAAAAGATTTCAAATCACTAGTTGGGGGTTTAACTTAAACCAACATTATAGAAGATGCTTTGAAAGAAAAGAAGTTTGCTCAGGTGTGTTCCTAGGTGTAGCGCACGCGTGTAATAACTAGAATCTCGTACAGAAGATTGTCTTTGAAATTAAATTTTGTTCTTCCTAAACAATACACAAATATGACAAAATTATACTTAACAGATAATCACTTTAGGCTCAAACAGAATGATGGTTTTACTGATCTTAAAGAAATAAAATTTGGAGTTCCACAGGATAGCATTCTGGACCCGATTCTCTGCCTTCTCTACACAAGTGATCTGTCAGAATTAGAGGAATTACTACAATACCTACTTTCGCTGACGACACTGCCATCTTTAGACTGGGCAAAGATAATATCGAATTAGCTCCGCATGGGAGAGGTTTCACGAAACTCGCTTTTCTCCCCTTTCGACTCTAAGGCTTTCTCTGAGAGGAGAGATCACAATCAAGAAGCTTGACATCGGAGGATGGCACCCGTCCGGTAGGGCCTGGAGACATTGGCGGAGGAGTAAGCACTAGTAAACCTTCGCCAGAAGCTTTTTACACTGCGAGCTGGACTTTTATTGCTAGCAAGGTCACCTGGGCTCTCGAAGTCCCAGAGTACTCCGTTTTATCCAGCCTCTACCATCGGAAGTGAGGTTGGCCAGCTTGTTAGATGCGAAATAAATTTCGATCTGCAAGCTTTTTGAAGCATGTGAAAAGAGCCAGAAACTCGGTGGGATGACAACTTCCAACTACTGAGTTAACTAGCTCTAAACATCACGCTATCCGAACAGTTCCCTAACCATCAGAACACAAATGCTCCGAATCTGGTCAGGTCAGGTTAGGTGTCAGTTTTGTGCGAAACTACTCCGCCTACCACGTAGTGCATTGAAAGGTACTAGTAAACCTGGACAGTGCATCATTTCGAGACTTATAGTAGGTGTAACAAATGCAACGCACTGGCCTATGAGTGTCACCCTTTACTTTCCTAGAAAATCCCAACAAATATATCCATATATTTCCTTTTGTCCCATTTAGCTATTTCCTGTTCTCTCCCCATGTGGCACCGATCCTGTTGGTTAAGTTTTATGGTACCACATGTTCAGCCTTTCTCAAGAGGTCGTTATAAAGTAAATTCCGATTCAAGCGTACCTAGATCTTTTCGTTGGATTTCAAATAAACACAAAGTACAATTTTACAACGACCATGATGGATGGGCATTAGCCACAAAGACTTTGTTAGAGAAATCTCGTTAGCGAAAATGGAATTATGCGATTTCCTCGTTTTTGTAAATACATAAATATGTTTTGATAAAAGAAAAGATTGAACATTCGGATGGATCACAGCCATAAATGTAACCTACCACAGGTGGAATGAAACATGCGATTCCACATAGGGGAAACCGATTCACAGGTAACAGAAGGTTTGCGACCCAGGGGCCCACTCCAAATGGCTGTTCGATAGATTTCTCATATATTGTAAATAAATAATCTTGATAAGGCAATAGTTTTTAATAATGATTTGTAAACCGATGACGATCGAAAAAGCACTTTATTTCAACACAGGGGTTGCATCGCATTGGTTTTTCTTTGTTAGACCCCTGATGTCGGGTGGAATCTCCACTTTTTAGCAAAGTAATAAAAGTGCAATGTTTGACGATTTTTGTTAGGTCTCTGGTTGGGATTCCTGTAGGGTTCGACTCGTTCTTTCTTGTAGGTATCACCAAGAGCGGTGATCTATTTGTTTCCTTTTTCTTTTTTTGTCATTTAATAATTTATGTGTAAATAAATCAGGGTAACTGATTTTCAACTGAAAGTAGGACTTTCTGTTTGTGGAATTTGCAGTCAACCCCTTTCAAAATTGATAAAAATATTAATGATTTAAAAAAAAACGAAGTTTCGAATGTGCGACTAACACTTCTCAGGTAGAAAATTAGATAAATTCACGCCACCCATTTTAAACTAAATACTACTTCTGATCACTCACGCCCCAGCCTTGCTAAGCTAGTTACATAAGCCTTGTGGTTCGAGGCCTGCAAGCTGACGGATTTGTTGATCTATTATGTAAAGTTACACCCCAAAGAGTATACTCTAGAGGAGTTCAGGTATCCCTTCACCTTCCATACGGGTAAGGGTAATTCACAACGGAGGACCGAACCTTTAAAGAACACCATCGATCCGACGACTAGTCATGGAAGTCCTTGCCATTCCACACCTAGCCTCGGGCAATTCAAGAAAGCTCCATGGCCCGGGTACCGGCGGGGATGGCTTTGTCGCCAGTTTATCCTTTTCTCCGAGCCATCAAAACCTCTATCCGGTTCCATATTTTGCAACCCTTTTACGAGAAACTGAAGGCTATGGTCGGCCTGTACCAGAGCTCCCTCTTGTGAAAACAGCCTATATCACGGAAAGGTGGGAGTTGACTTAGACTATGTTTTCACTTCTTTTTTGTTCCATAACTGGATAATACTGCTCCTCTCAATTCTCCCATACGAAGGTAACGCTTATCAGTCCCGGTTTTCCAGTCCCGAAGAAGTCAGGCCGACGACAAGATGCAGTCAACAGTTCAGGTAGATTTCACAAATAAGCAGATCGAGGATGTACCTATAAACATTATTACGAAGTAAACACATACGCCGTCCCGGTACGACGATTATGGGTTTCCTAGTATGTACGATGACTCATCATCGGTGAAGGCGGCCCTCGAATAAAGAAAAACCTGTAAGCGGCCCGCCGGAAGTCGCGGGAATTATTTCGATGGTGGACTCTAGAACAACCTCGACAGCGGCGACTGCGATCTTTCCAGAAGAAACGTATGGATATTTAAATAGAGACCAGTTTCGAGAGCAAGTTAGTGTAGTCTAATCCAGGAGTCGATTAATGAGTACGAACTACAATCATCGTAACAATATGATTGTTACGATGTTAGTAATAGGTTAAAAAGTGTGTCATAGAAAGAGATAAATAAGACGATATCATAGGGTCTTTGATTTTAAGTAGATAGCACAGGATACGACGTAGAATAGAGATATGTAGGTTGATACACTAGAATACATATATCCATGTATCCCGGGTCAGCAACGCTAATTGCCGATCGTGTCGCCTAGTTTTGGGACACTACTTCTATAGACATCTATCGGTAAACTATATAATTAATAAAACAAATTGTACTTATCGATTTCGATCAAATTTCATCTAAGAATTTTGTATTGTTAGTTATTGTATACAAAGTACTTGTAAACGAAAAACCCTAAAATAATTAGAATTAGTTTTGTACTACAGTAGAGGCGCTAGATATACGAGTGTTTTCCATGGATATCAGCAAGAAGCATTGCCATCCCAAACTTATAATGTACCAATCATTCCATGGTACCAACCTATCGGTTCTACATTGATGATGCATTGCACACCGCTTAATCTAATATTCTTATACATTAAACACAATAATAGCAACGCGTGATCTCAAACGCCAAATTTCAAATTGAAAGTGATACTATGTCAGTGGTACCAACTTACAAACAAGACATATGGCCTACTAGATATCAAACATTAATGAAGGCGGTATATATTAGGATTTAAAAAAGTTACCTATTGGTCTCTGACTAAATTGTAGCAACATTTTAAAACAGAATGTATTATTTGAATCAAATTACTTGCAGCTTTACTAAAAATAAAAAAAGTTGGAATTCATATATTTCGCAAACTTATAAATTATTATTGTATAATATACTTAAATTAATAATAAAATTAGATGCAGTTTCGAGAAATTTTAAAATCGTATTTTAAATTTTTTCCCCGTTGAAACAGTATAACGTTTGAATTCATTTCATAACAGATTATTAATCAACATTCAATAACATCATTAATAACATCACGTTTTCTAATTTAACTGGCCTCGTAATTTTTACACTTTATACTTTTAATAAAACGTGCGATGTTGCTGCTGAGTTTGCATGCATATATTAACAAATGAACAAAATACGGTTTTGACGCCAGTTGCAGAAAAAAAGTTCTGCATTTTATACTTTTCGGTACGTTTTGATTGCAGCTATTCACACTTAATGCAACAACAAAATTTGATTAAACAGATTTCTCACTTGCTCTTGATCCGCTCAAATTCTGCAGGCCAAAAAGATGTTGATTTATGATCCTCGTAGCTGACGCCAGTCCTCTTGTTGGAATAAACGAAGTCTTCTTTCTCTTTGTTTCAAGACTTTCCTGAGACTCTCGCCCAAAAGCATCACCAAATCTTGTTCGTGGCCGTCCACCCTAAAAAATAAGCGAACATTTTTTTAGAGAAGTTGTAACTGTGGGTGCGCGGAAACTAATACGAGACAATAATTGCGACCGGTAAATGAACACGCTGTTGAAATATTAGGCGGGTGTGTTGTATTGATTTCACAGGTATCACAATGGATGACCAGCTATTGTTATCAATCACTCGCTGCTGTCAGCGAAAAATATTATTTTGAAAATATGTTTAGTTAGAACTGACGGAGATGGATTATTTTGTGCCGGTCTATCGTCGAGCATGTTGTACATGGTAACGAATAAAATTTGTTTTATATTATTTTTGCGAAATTCATAAATATTTATCGCAGTAAATTAATCGCTTTTTGCTCTTCTTGTAATTTATCATTAATAAGTAGAAAATATTTTGAAAATGTAAACCGGTTAACAGAGTAGAGCACTTTATAAACGTAAATATTCTTTAAAGTGGATAGCGAAAGTATGCGTTCTGTTGAACAACTAAGATAAATAAAATCGATTTAAAGTTACGTAATTCGCATAAATTTAAAGTTGCACGCAACTGGAAAGAGTAATGACAGCTCATGTGTAATAATTTTAAGTAGTTTCAATCTAATCTGTGAACGACTGTTTCAGAAAAAGTAAATACTTTGAACTCTATTCCTTCATAAGTGATAACATTTGAAAAAATTTTTTTGAAACGGTATTTTTCTTTTTGAAGTAAGTAGGTATATGTATTAGATACATGGTTTGCAAGCTGGTAAATATTATTGTTTAAGCCCAAAGTTGTCAAAATTGGCTATTTCCTAACAAAGCGTTAGTAAAAATGTAAAAGAAATACTATTATAGGCAGAAAGTAGCTTTTGAATATAAACTTGGTATTTTTAATAAAAATTCAGTGGACACATTTTTATATGGCTTTTATTATTCGTCTTACGTCAGAGTTGTATTTTGTTAATGGAGAATGGAATAACAAGAATGTAGCAGTTGTCAGAATTCGTCTATTCATCGCTACCAAAAATTTTGCTTAGTACCTTAAGTCTTGTTTTGCTTGCAGTGTTGCATGTTCTTTTATCATCGACTTCATAATCCATTTATTTTTTACTTCTGTTTTTTAATATCAGTAATTTGGTAATTATAACATAAAAAATATGACATCTGTGATATCGATTATATAACCATGTTAAAAACGAGTTGTCATTAGTTTTACGGTCAGTGTCTCCCCCTGCCACGCGGGAGATTGGGGTTCGTTCTCCGCCAGGCGAAATTCTTTTTAATTAAATTTTGATTAATTACTTTTAACGCTTAATAAGCCTATCAAGTTTTATAGTACAGTTCAAGGAGACACTTGTAAGTTTTCAAAGGGAGAGAAAAGTACTGTCTCTTCAGGACAATTTTTCAGTTTGTATTAAGTCATATTGAACAGCTGATTCAAGTAAAGTCTGAACTTGCACTTATTTAATTTTTAATTATTTAACATTATTAGAATTCCGTCTAAAGAAATATGTACTACCAATTTGTGGTACAGATCATTGAAAACCAAATTTTAACACTACAAAATCTTTTTACGATAATTTAACAGTAATAGCAAAATGTGGTATTAATACTGTTACGAAAGAAACCCATACGCCTGTGGGTTCTAGTATAACGGCGGCCGGGCAGCGTTCGCTAAAGAAATGCCTGCAAGCGGAAGTCGCGATGGGCAATCCAGAAAGACCTCGACTGCGGAACTTCTAGAAGGGAAGTGTGGCTTTAAATAGAGGCCACCTTCGGGAACGATGATTATTCAGCTAGTTGAGTCAAGACAGAGTCCAGCTAAGTTGCGCCGGAATTATTTTGTACATAATCGCTGTGTAATCAGTCGTGTAAATTTCAATGATTGAGAAAAAAATGGTTGAATTTCGTTCTTATTAATTAGAGGGTGATTATTGTCAAATTTATTTTAATGCATGGCTGTGTCTCTCCTATGAGTGATGCGAACATTAAGTTTTATTTAAGTTTTGTTAATTTTGTCACGTTTGCCAACTTTAAACTTCTTGTTAAACTTCTGGCGATGTGACCCTAACAGCCGGACGAACTTACCGACACTATTGGGATAATATCGATTTTAGTATGTTTTTATTTATTGTTGCCTTCTTCGTAGGCTTAAAATCCGTTTAAAACTTTTATTTATTTTTTGAACTGATAAATCAATATATTTTTTCTTGTAATAGTAATTAACGTTAAAGGTTACATTCGAAAAATATTGTAAAAATAATCTTGACTAAAATGATTATTTCAATGATAACCGTACAAAAGTAATGGTTGTTTGCAATATCAAGTTCTTAAAGTGGAACCAAACACAAAGGACCATGAAGATATTTTGGAATTTTTTTTTTTTTAAATTATGCGAAAAAGCGTCACTATCTTACGAAAATTCCAAAAAATTTGTAACAATTATTCCTGAACAGCAAGTGTCATTTTCATTATATCACTTGAAATAAGCCAGATGAAAATGAACCGTTGATAACCGAAAGTTAATAGTCCGTATTTTAATGCGCCACCTATAGTAAAGGTGGCTTTCGAAACATTCACTGACGCTGGACTTCTAAAGAGAGTTAACTCAGAAGGAGAAAAGAATGTAGACCTTTCAGAGATTAGTGTGACTATAAGGACATTAGGTTTCAGACACACTTGTTGATTTATTAAACTAGTCATCGTCCCTTTAGCAAAGTATTTGATTCTGAAAATTCAAATTTCTCTGTTAAAAAAAATATGTTCGTGGAGAAAGAAAGCACGGAGAAAGAACCGACTATAAGGGGATATCACTGGTAAATCTGGTGTGCAAGGTGTCGGCGACGGAAATCAAAATAAAGTAATATGGAAAAGGAAAAGAGTAATATGAGAATGTTAGAATGAATTTAAGAGTGGAAGATCAGTGGTGGATATTCACCATACATAAATTCAAGCTGAAAATCAGGTGTATATGCACTTGAGATAGTTATAGCCTTCATTGATTTCCAACATGCCTAAGACAGAATGAAGCGGAATGCGCTGTGTAGAGCAATGGCAGAATTGGAGGTAAAAGGAATTTTACTGACATTAAAAAGAGTGACAGATAGAGCAAGAGTAGATGGACAACAGAAAATTCGACACGATTCGAAATATACTATACCCTCCTAATGAGAACTTTTTATGGAGTAAGGAATTGATTTTTTAAATGCTAATTTATTATTAAATTTATTAATTATCTCGCTGTTATAATGGGGATTGATAGGCCCTGTATAATATAAGAATTGATCAGCTGATTGTTGAAAGATGTTAGGGTCTTGCCTCGCCGGTACTATCAAAACCAAAAAGGACACATTATTAAGATTTATCTCATCGAGGTTCTACATCATTCTTTTGATATTCTTTGGAAGTATAGCCCACTTCGGCTATCATTCACTACCGGCTCTCGACTCTTTATTTTTTACGAAAATGAAAATGTATTATTTAGAAGAAAAAAAAATCTGCATTATTGTTGACTGACACGAATGATGATGATGAAGATATGAGAATTAAATAGCATATCTAATGGTTCAAAATCGTCGAAGTAGTCAAGGACACATCGACAGTTTGAAAAATAAAAAGGAATTGCGAATCGTATCTGTTCCGGAGACAACGACCATGGTAATTCCACCCCTGTGATCCATTCGCGGCATTTTATTACAACAGCAGAAATGTTATCACTAAAGTTGATTTCCATAAATACATATATGCAACTATAAACACTCTAGCATGAACTTTAAGTGTTACTTAATTAATGATTTTTAAATGTCAGCCTGCACTTATTATTTAAATTTTCAGTAGAATGAAACTTATAAAATGAGACGATTTTTCTTGTTAAGTTAAGTGGATATTATTTTGAACAAAATTAGTGCTCACCATCGATCAGTTCATTTGTCTGAAGAAAGCATTCAGCTAAAGTCAGAAATACATTTTTTACACAGGTTATATCTAACAGATAGATATAGTCAGAAGCTCGGTGTATCTCCGTCGATTCAGGCCAGCCCTAAATTCACCAGTGACCCACAAAATATTCAATGAATAGCAAAGACCTTAAAAGAACTTACCTGTTGGAATCTTGTTCTTCTACTTTTAGGTAAAGGCGAGTCGTTCAGGCTAACTCGACTACCCCTGTCCAATGGCCCAAATCCCCTGAACGCCTCCTCCATGGGTGATGTTCCCAAGCTCCTAAGTGCCGTATCTCCGGAAGCGGATTTTTTGACGCCTCCAGTTCTTCCGGGCGCCGGAGTAACCGGACTGTTATCCCCGCTTTTATCCAAGGGATTTACATAAAGATTACTGTCTATTACACATGAGGGATCAACAATGTCGGATGTGAGATCTCCCTGAGAGTTGAAGGGGTGCGTCGTACAGCTTGCAAATGTATCCGAACTATCCATGCTTGCCAAGTCGCCGTTATTGTTGTTAATATTTTTCTGCTTGATATCTACCTCACCGAAATTATTGTAGACTTGTTCTGCTTTCAACGTCCTCATTTCCAGACAGACGGGATTGCGGAAGTCACTTGTCGGCAGAGGCATCAAGTTTTCCGCGTCAACAAATTCTTTGAAATCCTGAGGGGTTTGCTCGAATTAGCTTCCAGATGGGGTTGATTTTCATGGTCAGCAACAAATACATTGTAAAAACTTGGACAGTTTCGATACCACACAAGTTTTGAATAGAACTTATTAGGAATTTACACTGAAAATTCTGTAATGGAAATTTTTATTTTATACAACTAGAAAGTAATAGCATAGGTTTCAAATGTTAAACACAAGTTTGAAACACATTCTAAGTGAGGAATTATGTTTTTCTATAAATCGTACTTTATCATAAAAAAGGAAGTTTTAAAATTAACTATTTGGAATTATATTCATTCTAAATGACGGCGAAGGAAAATAAAGGAATATTGAAGTAGTAGGTGTAACTATTGTATTTAATTAAAAAATCGTCAAATAGTTTTCGAAATTACAAGGAAAAGTACACCAACTATGTATTTATAGTGTTTCGTGCTGAGATAGAAACATTTAGAATAATTGGATGGCTGAAAAACTGATGAAAAATTTTTCAATAATCACGTCGCTATTACCTAACATTTCTGACAGTGATTTATTACCTTTATCACGTGCGCAGTGTTGCCAGTTGATTTTTTCGATTAGAGGGCGGTGTTGGTGGTTTTATAATTTATGACCTAGGTTTACTATTGTTATTAAAGGTCGACGTAATTTCACCTACATTAAATCGATTTGAAAGACTCAAAGGTGATTGTACAAAAAATTAATTCTATAATGTGTACGAAGGCTATCCAAAAAGTAAATTCCGCTAGATTTCCTTTTTTAAACGACAAATTTGTTGGTAAAAGAGCATTTACTTCGCCCTTTCTTTAGCCCATTTAGAAATATACATCACTATAAATGTGTTTCAGAAATTAATTTCAGTCTCTTGATGAATGACAAATGTTGCGCAAGCTTTATAATATGTTAACATCAGAGTTATAAGTTTCATGTCAATTCTAACTACAAAATTCAAATGCAAGAACGATGATGGAATAAGTTATGTTAATATCCTGACTGCGATGAGAGTAGATAACAAGGAAACGATTATTTTCAAAAATATGTGTAAAATGTTTTTAATATTTTGTTTGCTCGCTTTTTAATGATAAACCATCAAAAAATAATTAATAGCTGAATGCCTTAGGTGGGAAATCTGATAAACTTAAGCATGTTTAACTTTCCTTATATAATGCAAACACGACTCTATTTTAACATAATCATGTATCTGATTTCTCAGTCGATAAAAAAAAACAGCACTGAGACGCACGTAAAAAACCAAAATGGAACTTACTTTTTGAATAACCTCTATAACTGCACATATTTTACACCAGTTTTTAGGTAACATGTATAACATATTAACTATGTATTTTCTGGTAGAATGAAGATAGATGTGCAAAATATTACTATGTTACTAACGTTGCCACTTCGCAAATAAATATCTAGTTCTAATTTCATGCAAAATGTCATGCTACTATAATTTTCAAATAGCTTGCAAAGACTGTTTTAATGTTTCTAACTTGTCTTTATTTTGAACGGTGTTCTCCAGATATATCAACAGCGTGTTTGCCCTTATACGCTATAAAAATCTGAAAATTACGATCTAGTATTATCAAGTACCTATAAAATTTTATCTTTGGACACTGTATTATAAAGCAACTGAATATATAAATCGGAAATATAAGAGCTCAAATCTACCATATTTAATACTGTGTTATCTTTCACTTTCACATACCGTTGCTATAGTAGCTAATGTCCACTGACAAAGGTCCACTCAGTTCTAAGAATGCATTTACTGGTTTAAACCAGTTTAGTTTAATTCACTCACCATTATACCGACATATTTTAAACGTAAATTTAAGGTATAATTTAACTATCGTTCTTTTTCTTTGAAAGTCGAACGAGAACAGAAGTTCTCTAAATTCGTTTAGTGAACAGCATAACAATAAGTCAACAAAACATTAAAATAATTACTGTGTTAAACATTTACGTTCATGTATGGAAGATAAAGTGTTAAAAATTATTATAAAGCTTTAAACTAGTTAAATATAATTTTATTGTATCATTAGAAAACGTAGCACTTTTATCAGTATTTCAGTTACTTCTTTACATAAAGGTTATTTCTCACATGTTAGTTGTAATCAAGATTAATAAATTCGATCATGCTTATACATTATATATATATTTATCAACTGGTACGTAAGAATTAGTCGCTTCACGCACTCAACAAATTCCACTTTTTCATTCAAACTTATTACCAACCGAAAAAACTTTAATGAATTTATAACAATGTATTATTAATAGCTAAACACCGTGGTCTAAACTCATTCAACAACATTTCAAACATTTTCTGCTTGATTACTTCACTGAAATTTGTTGGTAACAGTTTTAATGGAAAACAAAAAGTTAGTTGTTTTACATAAATTTAATTTACTATCGCAAAAGTGCCTCCTATTTTTAGTGTAATGAACAACGGCGCCGGTAAAACCTAGATCTGATAACTAATACGACAATATTGGCGCCGGCAAGAAAAATATTACTATACCACTATCGGTTATTACCACTGACGCTATTTTCAAGCTAGATATTTTCTCTGGTTTGCGTTATAGTAGCCATCACCACAAAATTATTAGCATTTTTGTTTGCCAAGCATAAGGTTGTTAAGCAAAAAGAAACATTTAGCTGCATAAGTTCTGGAAAAGACTGAATAAAGTTGTAGCTTTTCAAAGAAGGGTATGGAAAATTATTTTTATTTGATACGTTTTCAACAAATAAATTTTTAAAGAACCTAACTCAAACTCTGCCACTTCTCTTATTTGGAGTTCATATTTTGTTCAGAAGTGTCTAGTAGTAGTCAATAAATAATAAAATTTGTAAACACATCAGTTGAGAACAAAAGCCATAAATTTAGATCTGATACAGAGTTCGTGAAGAATAATGTTATCGAGTGCTGAAATTCACCAAATCTGGAGTTGTTGTCATTGAGCTAACAGTCGTAACACCTTGCGCCTAAAGACAACACTCATCTGTTTTCAAAGTTGTTGACAATGTTACAAGTCATTTAAAAATCTTCGATAGACTTGTAGACCAAATAATTAGCAATATAAATGTAAAATTTAGTGAGTATATCTACTCAGTTAATATATATTTATGGTAATACCTATATATAAAGTTTGATTTTACGAAATCATAATTTTCTACAATAATAGCAGAAACGTACTCATCACAGTGCATACTAGTTTAATTTTTTTGTCATTGAGAGTGGTATCATGTTGAAAAAGCAGTAATAATTAGTTATGCAACGACACCTCCTTAAATGAGAGAAACATAAACTATTCTTATGAAATTAAATTTAATTATAACAATAATCTTTCTGTTTATCTCAACTAGACTGAAATTGTAGTTAGTAGATTAAACAACTAAACAATAAAGTATTTATACAATTTCAAAATTTTAATAAACAGTAGATATTATACCAAAAGCTTTAGAATCTCATTTATCTATAAAAAAAACTTACATTAAAACTATTTACATGTTTATCGTTTTTCACAAATGAATTTTCTGAATAAAATTTGGTCCACACAATGAATTCAATTTTGTTTATTTTCGGTTTCACTTTATTTTGAATACAGAATGCTTTATTTTGTTGCAGGTCCCGACTACGAAAACTTTGCTAATTAAAACCACTGCTTAATTTAGGTTTCAAACAACTTCGAAATAAGAATTAAAAAAAAATAAAAGTGTAGCGAATGAAGTACGTGTTGCTTAATCAACACAAGCAAGCCACAATCTTAAATATAATTGTCCTCTTGGATATGTTCCTAGGGTAAAATGAGTGGTAAAGTTATGAATAAGATAAGAAAATTTTGTTAAATTTATTTAAAAATAGTGTATTAGTCGAGCATACACATAACTTCGTGCACATATAGATACGTAATAAAAGTTTATCATTTACTGTAATATAATCTATTAAAACTGAAACTTCAAATTTGATTAAACTTCTACTTTTTCTTAGAGTGTATAAGTTTTGTAACAACGAATTTTACATTTAAAGTATTCTCAATGGATCTGTTTAGTATTGATTTTATGGTTCACTATGCTGCTGCACCTAAAACGTTTCCGAAGCGATTTAAATACATTTCATTTTATTGAGTTCAGTGAGACTTCTTCCGTGATCAAATTAGGTTAATGAAGAACTGTTGGTTCATTGTTAAAGATTTATGAGAAGGAAGTGTCTTATGTGCAGTTCCGAGAACTTGGCTCGATAGTTTAACATTTTCATGAACTGGCAAATCAGAAGTGAAACAAAGGACTACTACAGAAGTTTAATATGTCTTTAAGATGAATCTATAAATAAATAAAAAATGGAGTCATTTTCAATAAATCATGCTTTTACAAATTTCGAGTAAATAAATAGGTTATAAAAATCCGGCTGGTTCACAACCGTATTGAAGTCATTTTTTAGCAAAAAAATAATTTTGATAATGCCACCCAACAATCAATCCTGATGTTTTCAATATACAAAAAAAATTGTTTGATCTACGATTAGTCTATTCAATATTGTAAACCACATAGAAGAAAACTGACAGAATAACTGGTGTAAATTGTGCTTTCAACTTGGTTTGTATATGTTCCTTTATAAATAAAACAGATATTCACGAAAAGATTGACTCGCTTGGTTTTTTAGATAATCTAGTCAAATCTAAGTCCTGAATCACTTGTCACGAAAACGTAGCCTCTAAACACGCAAGTTAGCAAAATACTTAGCGTCTGTCTACATATTTTAACCATACGTATAAATTTTGTAACAAAAAGAATGTAATCCACTATAATTTATAATTTGTTTTAATAAAAAGATATGGTATGATATCTCTCCAAGAAAAATTTTAACGTGATTGTTTTTTTCAACAAAAACACTCTCTGGATTTAGCAAAATTAAAATTATCTGAAAAATTCTTTGCTTGCTGCTGAAATCGAACAAGCGTAAATAGTATTTGCTGCTGACCTGGAAAACGTTAAGTATA